GGGAGTGGTGGTAGGGATGGTGGCCTGAAAGCCCCTTCCTCTGGACCAGGAGCAGTGGGATGGCAGCTCAGAAGCCCCTACCTCTGGGCAGGAATTCTTTAAATGCTGAGAACTTGATTAGCTCCAATATAGTGGTCTGGTGGTCCGGCGTCCTCTGCGTCTTTGCCGTGTGGAGCCAGGTGGCTATACAGAGAAGAGGCCAAAGGAGCGGGGGTGGGGCAGTGGATTGCTGCCGGGGCGCGGGCTGATTCGGTGTTTTCTGCACGACTGGCGACCTCGTGACCGTGTCCGCAGACCTGCCTGTGTGCAGCAGGCTGATTCGGTGTTTTCAGCGCGACTCCCACTGATGCTTTTTGAGTAGCTTCTTGTCTGTCCAAAGGGGATTTAATGTTCTCCAGTGTTCTTCATGGGTTTTAGACACCAGGGTTTATCTGTATGGCAAAGAAGCCAGGCATCTAAAGGGCTTGTTTAAGGTCAGACTGCTGATCCAAGGTAATTCGAGGATAGGATGTGGAGTTACCAGTCCCAGGATTTGAAGTCATGTCTGCACAGTTTCCTAGCTCCAAATGGGCAAACATGAATCTCATGCTCTTTCCCCTCTCCAAAGCACACCACCACCACATGGAGACAGTATATTATCAGGGCACTGTCTTTGAAGTCAGGTCTGCTTTCAAGTGCTGAGTCTTGCTGTTGTTAGCCATGTGGGCATGCCATCACAAACACTCTGAGCCTTCGTTTCTTCATCTGTGTATGGGAACTATAATGCCCTCCTATGAGATTGTGATGGTGGCTGACTGAGATTGCATGTACCCAAGGCTCATCACCCAGCCAGCGATAGTTAATCCACTGCATCCCATTGTAGGCTCCTCACCTCCACCCCCGTGTGTAAGTGGGTCTTTGACAGTGACTTCCAGTAAGGGGTTCCTGAGAAAGCTTGTTATGTTAGACTAGAGAGTGGGTTTCTCAGAGGCTTTCTCATGTGGTGGTGATTTGCATCCATTTCCATCTGTAGGCAGGAGTCCTTAGATCAATCTTGAAGTACAACTGCATGTTTTTGTTTAGTTTTAAAAACTTGCCTTTTGAAATAGGCTTGGCTTGGCGGGGGATTTAGCTCAGTGGTTCTGCCACCTGCCTCGAAAGCACAAGGTCCCAAGTTCAATCCCCGGTACCAAAAAAAAAAAGAAATAGGCTTGACTTCTCTCTACATTGTCTGCAGTAAATGACTACTAAGCTACACTGCTTTATTGAAAAGAAAACATTTCATAACTGAGTCTTTCATTATAAAACTACATCTCTTCGTGACATTTCTCCTTGCTAGCTATCGCAGTAGCTGGTGATGCTATAAAGACTGTTTTCCTATACATTGACATTTTGCTCATGTTCTGAACTCTTACTTCTTTCTCCTGGTGTTAACAGATAGACACCTACTAAGTTTAATGACAGTTGCATAGACTGCTGTCTTTTTTGCTAAGCTTACCGTGTTAGACACTGGCTTGAGTTCTCTCATGTTGGGTCTGTTTGAAGTACACACATGGAAACTATGCATTTCAACTGAGTCTTTCACTTCCATGAGGGCACAATTTTAGGCAGTGTTAGGTTCCCTATCCTACTTCCTGTTGCAGGTTTTGTGTGTGGTTTAAAAAGCATTTGCTTCTTGTGGAATGTTTAAACTCTTTCTTTCTTTTTCCTCAGAAAAGCAAATTGTGTTTCTAAAAAAGCCTTTATACAAAATGTGAGGAAAAAGTGATAAGGTAAATTCTATTAAGTGGTGGTGACACATGACAAAAAATATCAGACTTAGCCAAGTCTCTTCCTGATAATTTAGTTTAAATGTCATATGTGTTTGTAGTCAGTTGTGTAATTTTCCCATTGCTTCAAACTGCCCTTTGAGGCATATAAGATAATAGGGATGCTTGTAAAGTGAATGGCAGCAATTATTATTCAAATGAGGAGGCACCTCAGGGACAAACAGCCCAGAAGCTTGGTACCTTGTGAAGTTGAATTGCCTTATATTATTTGTAAAGATTTCCAAGTTTTAACATAATACAGTATTAAAAAGCTCCCTTGGAGAAGGAAAGGGTGCTTCGAAATTCCAGTTGCTGAAATAGCCCCATCTTGCTGGAATCTTCACAATAGAGGGCATTTATCAGCAAACTCCCAATGGTGAATGTCATCACACTGTATACCTAAAATGTACCAATAAACTTAATGAAAAAAAAAATTGAAAGTGGGTAAATGTGTAACGTGTCCACTGCGGGCCTCTTTGGATCTCATTACAAAACACTGCAGAGGTGTAAATATAGGTAACAGGTTTTTAAAAACTTACAAATTAAATGTGGGAAAGCAGCCCACCCCGTTAGTCTACAAGATCTAAACAATGGAGAAAAAACCCAGATGATGTCTTTGAGTGCAGATCAGAGCAGAGCAGTCACCTTGATTTGTGTGTCATAAGATTGTATTTGCTTAGTTTATAACACTATCCCAATAATATATGCTGTCTCCACCATATTATTTTCATTAAAATCATATTTCTTTACACTGTGGATTTTTTAAAAATTTAAGATATTCAAGTTCATGGTTTGACATACACATGCGCTGTGAAACAATCATCACAATAGGCTAATTAACATCTCCATTACTTCATACATATAGTTACTTTTCCTTTTTAAAGTGTGTGTCTTCTGATCTTCTTCAGAAAAAATAAAAAGAGCTGAGAGTTCAAATGTTATCTTTTCCTGTATTTACAAAGAGAGTTTTGCCAGATAGCTTTCTCCTTGGGTGTTGAATGAATATTGGTATTGATATAAACAGCAATGTGTTTATGGCACAGGGTGCAACAAATTAACAGCCCTCTTTCCCCGCTGTGCTTTAGAGCAGTGAAAAAAGGGAACAGAAGAGAATGTGAAAGGATTCGCTTCAATGATGCCAGGATGGGAGCAAGTGGCTCTCAGACCTTGTAGACGGTTTTGCGTTTTTAGGGCTGTGGAAATGACTTTAAATTTCTCTATTTATTTTTTTTAGGTGCATTTTGACCAATTTAAAGAAGCATTAATACTTATCTTATCTAGAACTCTGTCCAATGAAGAGCACTTTCAGGAACCAGGTAAGGGCCCTGAGTCTTCTCTACGTTCCCCTTTAAAAGTTGTCCAGAGAAAAATGTGGCCCCTTGAGGCCTGTCTGGGAAGGATTTAGGGCATCTGCTTTTCACAGATTGGGCAGTTTATTTCCAGTGACTTCTCTTTCAATATGATCATAAAAGCCTTGCAGCTGTTGAACACTAAAATGAGACTTCTCTACTACAGCAGCATAGTGTGGAAAAAATAATTGGATTGTGCCGAGGCAATATGTCAGATGTTGTGGCAATAACTCACTCTTGGAAGGAGCAGAGTGAAACTCATCCGTATTTCCTGGGTACTTGGAAGCATATGATTTGGGGGACATTGTTCCTGAAGAAGAGTTGTGGCTGATGTAGAGATGATGTGGAGACAATTTTGTTTAGTCCTATTCAGTGGATTACCCTCTGCTAGAGACATTGCCATATGATACTATGATTAATCTGCCCTTCTCCCCTGATAGTTCTTGGGAATCATGTAGTTCAGTTTTGTATTGACAGTGCCTAGAAGAATGCTTAGCACATGGTAAGTATCCAGTGAATATTATGAAATAGAAAATTTAATATTGTACTTTGTTGATTTTTTTAAAAGCACCATACATTTTAAGACACATTGTTATTCATGTATATCTAAGAAGAAAAATTTTGCCAAATATAATATAAAGTGCCATTGATTATAAAATATATCCTGGTTTCATTGTGTTCCAACCTCGAGTTGGTGTGTGTGAGATTCAATAAAAATATGGCAGATATGTAAGGGGAAGATTAAACAGTGTAGAAATTTGTATTCAAGTACAGTCTGGTTTATCAGATCAGCGGTTGTCATGGGCCAGTGATAGGAGTTGACTATAAAGAGACACCAGGGAGTTTTTGGGGTGGTGAAACTTTTATGTGATGGTTTTGATGGTAGTTATGTGATTGTATGAGTTTTTCCAATCCGTAGCCTATGCGCTAATGGGTGAAATTTACTCAAAATAAATTACCCCTTAGAAAACCTGACTTTAAAAAAGAGAAGATCAAAAAATATAGTCCAGTTTGAGACTAAGGAGAAATCGTTAGCATTCTGTGGTTACCAGGAGTCATGCAGTGTGACCTATTGGCCAAACACAGATGAGAATTTGTTCTTTATCCTCGTGGTGATTTGCTTCTTCAGTTTACCTTCTGAAATGGTCCAGATTTGTATCATGTGTCTGAACACTGCCTTCACCAGTGTTTTGGATTTTGGAATGAGTCTCCCCTTTCTGCTAGTGGTGACCACCTCCACGAAGGTTATTCTCAACTCCAAAGCTTCCCTGAGCCTTTGGGAAGTCCCCAGTGAGCTCGCATTCTTGAGATTTTTCCAGACTAAGAGTAGAACTTGTGCCAGTGGCCCCTGCTGGAGCACAGATCTTTATGATTTATGCGCTCTCATATTTTGTTGGTATTTTTACTTTTTTTTTGGTACCCGGGATCGAACTCGGGACCTTGCACTTGCAAGGCAGGTGCCAGAACCACTGTGCTAAATCCCCAGCCCATTGTTTTTACTTTTTTAAGGTTGTCTGTCATCTTGATAACAATTATACAAGATCTAGGGACTCTGAGCAATGGTAGCATCACCGCCGGGGGTACATTTTGGTTAATATGAGTGGAGGTAATTAAAAACATAAATTCAGTATTTTTCTGTGTGCTGGTAATGTCCTTTTATGTGGATTTGGAATGGGCAGCCCTGCCACTAGTCCATGTGACCCTTTTCCTGGCCTTTCTTCAAAGCTTGTACTGTCACCTCCCAGAAAATTGTTGCAATAAAGATGCAGATTGATAAGCATGGATGTGGGGGTCCCCCCCCATGCAGGGGTGCAGTGCTGGAACCTAAGCAATAGCATGAGCTAGATGATGGCTACTAACAGCCTGGAAGTAGAGCTGATAAATGCAGCTCCAGATGGTGGCTTCGTGGTTATGTGTGGGCCTCGCTGCTGTGCTGAGGTCGTAATTTGGATCCAACTTCCTCGAACACAGAAGGAATTTTTATAGTTTTGCTGTGTGCCCTGTCCTCTGGGTGGGCTGCAGCAAATCTTTGTGACAGGATTGTCCCAAAGCAGTGTAATGCAACAGTGGAGTGCTTGTCGGTAGCATTCTAGCCAGCATTTTAATGACTTCCCTGGCAGGGTAACATCTAGAATGCAGCCTGTGCCTTAAGAGTGCTTCATCGAATGTAGGCCTGAGCCAGCCCTCCCTCCCACATTTCCTGCTTTGTTCTGACCGTCTCTGTGTTATCTCTCCTTTGCCCCACTCTTCCTGGCCCCTCCAGTTGTTCCTGGGATTAAGCAGTTCTTTCCACTCCACCATGTTCTGCCCACTCTAAATATGACCCCACCCTCAGCCTGGCTGGTTTGTATGGGAGAGACACAGGGAAGAGGGTCAGGACTCCAGCAGACTATCAGGAGGTGTGCTGAGCTCACCTCTCCCTTTCCCTTTGTGAAAATAACTATCTCTAAATCATAGACCCCAGCACATCAGGGCTGGAGACGATGCTGCCCTTTTATCAGAGGGCAAACTGAGGTGTAAAGAGAGGCAGAGGAAGATGTTAGCACCATGGCCATGGGATGTGCAGGGTTCGGTTTAAGAATTTTAGCCCTCAGATGGCTGAGCTGGTCCTCACTCAGTGTAGCCTGGCCAGAGAGGGGGCCAAGAGGCCAGAGGTGTCACTGAGTCAGAGCCAGCTGTGCTGCCCATTGGCGGCAGGATGCCTATGTCCTCCACGTCACCAGGCTGCTCAATGTTAAACTCGTCTTTTACCGCCGGGGCCAGTCTGTGGTGTTTTTGCTTTCCCTTTTGAAACCAGTGAGCTGGTGGGCTAGAAGAGAAAGAAGTACCCTTAAACCACGCACAGAGTTTGAAAAAATAGGGCCACAGCACACAGCCTTAGAAATCCAGAGGGTCATGAATTGATCCTTTATAATAGCTAAGATTTTTATAAATTAAAATACCAGGTATCCTACCTGGCTCTAATACAGAAAAGTCAGCCTGATAGGATGAAAGGAACCTTAAGCAAGGAGTTAGGAATTACTGGCTTTGCCCTCCTAATCATGTGACCTTGTATGTTGCACCTCTGGTCTTTGATCAGCTCAGATCTAAAAGTAGTTGTACTGGAAAATATTTCATTTCTCTTTTAGCTTCAAGATTCAATTGTGTTGTCTCCTGATAGCTAAATGACATTATCTGAATCTATGAAAAAAGCTAGCATTGTGCTTTTTGTAAGATCTTACTTAACATAAATTGACAGTCTAAAGTTCTTCCTAAGGATGAATGACCACTCTATTTCATGCCTTCATCTTCTTCTAATAAAAGGCAGTTGTGTGTAAGTAATACAAAAGCAAAGCTCTAATGGGATTTGAGAAGAGATGAAATTAAGTCATTATTTCCGTAGTCCCGGGCTCTGCCATTTATAACTTCTCTGAGTCACTATTTCTATATTGTTAAAATGAAGGAGTATGGGCTAGATTATTGTCAGCTTCTTTATAATTCTGATATTTGTGATTTGAAGATGCTAGGAGGTTTTTCCCTAAAAAGTAATAATCATAACTGTAACACAATGAAGAATACTGAAATTCAGATAAGGACAGAAAAATGGAGGGAGGATATAGGGAATCCTTTGTAAAGTCCAAAGTGATTAACATTACCAGCGGCATAATTCCCTCACATCTGCACATACAGTTTAATTTTTAAACTATTTTTCTGGAATAAAAGAAGGCCAACAATGCAATTATTAGCTATTCATTCAATTTGTGATGGTTTTGGGTTATTGGCTTTTTTTTTTTTGGTACTGGGGATCGAACTCCGGTCTTTGCACTTGGGAGGCAGGCAGTGGAACCACTGATCTAAATCCCCGGCCCGGTTATTGGATTTTTGTAGTGGAAATGCTGGCTGGACCCAGTCTCCAGAGATTTTGTCCTTGTTTGATGCATCTTGCATTAGATTTCTGTTTTGTGTAGATGTTAGCATCTACACTGAAAATATCTTTCCCTTGTTTATTGGAGGGGGAAGAAAACACAGGTTTGGGAAACCCAACTCATTAGAAAAAAGGACTAAGCATCATTTTGGAACAGGTGATTATTTTTGTATCAGACCTCCCTAGTTTTAGGAGCTGTCCAAATTGTAATTATTTTCCTTATATTTTGAAGAAGCCATTAATGCAATAAATAGAAACCTTCTCATTCACTTGGCAAATGTGTAATGCAGTCAGTTCTGCAGCACACTGTTGGGATAGATCCTGAATTGCAGCAGTTGAAGATTTGTGGTAGCAGCTGCATTCAGAGGCTATGGGCCAAGCTATGATGCTGACTGTGGTCCCTGCACACAGATGACCCCACAGGCTTGGTCTGTGTCCTCTCTTTGGCTAAGACAAGTAAGAACATATTCTTTGCTGTCAGTAAGAAGTTTTCTCCAAAAGTTAGTCAAAACAAAGTACTACCACCAACAACAATAATAAAAGAGGATATTAAGTATGTTTATTAAGTCATAAAAATTGGAAACAATTGTGACTACTTATAATCACGAAATAATGGAACCTTTCTACATAAGACAATAGGTACCGAGAACTATAATAATGCTTTTGGCTAATTGATACCACTCTCAGGTTTCATGCTATATAAGTAATTGCAGATATGCACAAAGATACGTGTATAAGGTAGTCATTGCAAATTGTGTGTATGTGTGTGTATCAGTGAGAAACTTTGGTGTATTATACCTGTGTAATCAAAGATCAAGCAGCTATTAAAACTGTGGTGCAGAAGGTTTCTTGGTAGGTTAGGATAAAAAACAACCCTTTAAAAATGCATGTGTATGTGCAAGAAACATGCATGTTATTTAAAATTAAATAAGGCCAGTGAGAATTTCCACGGGAGTTGTGTTTGTATTTTATTTCAAACTTAGTGAGTGTATAAGAAGGTTTGCAAACAGGACATGAAGGTGGTAGTTTTCTGCAGGGAGTCTTGGAGAACTGACCTGTCCCTCTCACATCAGCCCATTGAAGCAGGGAAAGTTGACTCACGAGGAAGAGAAAATTAAGACAAGCCCAAGATCGAGATCAGGGCAGCTCCAGTTTCTGAGATGACAGCTGGAAACGCCATTATACATTTGCTTACCTGCCACAAGAAAGGAGGTTGAGGAATCTGCCATGGAATTGAAGGCTGTGAACTCTTCCTGATCTTGCTTCTCTGGGGTCCAGTGCTGGCTATCTGTCTCTGGCCTGATGGCTCTGGGTACCACTGGCTCCATGGGATCTGGGTGGAAGGACCCGAATGTGCCTGGAGTGATCAGGATAGGAGCTGCAGATGCACGGTGACCTTGCTCCTTGAAGCAGCTACTGTTTTTCCTTCTTCCAGATGAGGAAACTGCACCTTTGGGAGGCTAAATAATCCTGACCCTGTACAAATTGAGTATCCATATGGAGGTTTATTAAGTCCAGGCTCTTTCTTTGAAGCCCTACTGCCCTGGAATGTGTTACCCAGTTCTCCTGGGTAGATAATCCTACCAGTAAAGTGCTTTTAGAAAAAAGATGACCACAGTCATTATTAAATTGGGAGGTGTAGACAGTGTGAGTTGCATTCAATGCATAGGAGAAAAAGTTCCAGGAAAGTTGTGCTAAGAATTTACTGGAAAGAAATGAGTTTTGAGCTGAGCCCTTGAACAATGGGGAGGATTCACTTCAGTGAAATGTGACTCTCTGCCTTCTTCCCCAAAGTAGTAGCCCAAGATACAGGGCCTCCTAGAAGAGATAAGCCAATTGATCTCCTGCAGAGACCATGGAAGCAATTATATAATCACTATTGACTCAAAGATCTTTTCCAGCTGACTGATCCTCACCTGCTGTAAATCTGAGACAGACCATGTAGTCAGATGAGTCAGCCCTGGGTATTGCCACCCCACCCCACCCACGTCTTGAGCAACCTTAGCGGGTGTGCACCTTCCTCTCCAAGCCTTCCTCTCAGGCAGGGCTAATTAGAGCCACTCCCATCACCTTTGCATCCAGAAGCCCCTGTTCCAGCCGGAAGTGTCATAGAATGGGATAAGAAGACTGCCCCTTTATCCAGGGAGGACTTGAAGTCCCACTGAACATCTGCATCTTGTATGGAGGTCCAGGAGAGAGGGGTAGGCAGGAGCGATGTCCTAATCCCGCCCCCTGCCTGGCAGCTGCCTTGAGAGGAGCTGTGTGCACGAGGAAGGAAACGTGGGCTGATAAGGCTGCTTCCTGCTGATGGCTCACACAGGCAGGGAGCAGAGGGAATGGCAGAGATGTCACACGGTCTTGTTCCATCATTTTCTCCTGATCGCTCTTCTCCCCGTCTCAGCTTGGGACGTCCTCTCCCCACTTTTTTCTTCCTACCACACAGCTCCTCACCTCTACTTCCACTTCTCCTTGCTCCCCCTTGCCTCGCTTCCCTACTGCTTTCCTCTCCCCCAGTGTTTCTCTTCCTCCCCTCCCCTCTCCCTCCGAGGGCCTCTAGGTGTCTACCACCCCCTCTCTTTCCCTCCTGCTCTCAATCTTTCTCTCCTTTTCTCTGTATGTCAGTCTCTATGTGTATCAGTCTCTGTCTCTAGGTCTCTCTCGGGCATAGCCAGGGTTCCCCTGGGGTTTTTTCTCTTCCCCTTTCCTGTATCTGGAACCAGGCATGGGTTTGCACCCTCGTCACATGATCCCTGTGTGTGGGTGCACTAGGAGGTGGGGGGTGCAGGGGGCTGTGTGCATGGCTATTTTCAAGAAAGCCTCTTGGGGGTATCTGTCCTGAAGTTTGCACATAATTCTTTTTTTTTTTTTTAAACCCTTTCTTATTTTTCAGTCAATTTCAGGAATCCTGTGAGCTCAGGATTAAGCCTCAGCTGAAGTCCTTTGGAAGGGGCTGTTGTCTCTGGGAATAACTCCCTAGGCTCACTAAATGAGCCAGGAAGTAGAAAGCAAGGGTCTGCAGGACCCTTGTCTAAATAAGAATGTCCCTTATGCCTGAATGAGAGCATCAGCACCACAAGGGCTGATCCTCAGAAACAGCTCATTTCTTCATCCTTGGAAGTGGGCTCAGGTTATTTTTTGGTATCAGAAGAGTTTGATTCAAAAAAAATCGTAAAGTGTCCATTTTATCCCCTAGCAGGAGCTGGTATAATACAGGGCCTTGTTCATGGCCCTTGTCCCATAAGGAGTCTGCCTAACACTGGAGGACACCTTTGGAAATCTGCTTTAACTTCCCATGTGTGTGCTGTGGATGCCAGTCCACCCTGGGTCCTAAACTTGTGTTTTTTCGAAGAAAGCATTTGCATGAAAGGAGTTTAGACTTTTGGGTAACTGTATCAGTCACCTTAAGACTGTTGACCATCCGTCCAGTCCAGTGTATAATGTCATTACACATTTGCTTACCTACCACAAGAAATGAGGTTGAGGAATCTGCTGTGGAATTGAGGGCTGTGAACTTCCTAACCTTGGCCCTCCGGGGTCCAGCACTGGGCATCTCTCACTAGCCTCATAGCTCTGGATACCACTGGGTCCATGGGATCCGGGTGGAACGACCCGAGTGTGACTGGAGTGATCAGGATAGGAGCTGCAGACGCACGGTGACCTGTGTTGGCCGTCGGCACTGTTAGCCATTTGTCCATTGGGTTTCGGAGGAGTTCAGTGTTCCAAGTGGTCGTATGCGTCACATAGGAGCCCCCGGTCAGTTTTAAGAAGGAGGTGTTATGTACAGCTTAGTATAGATTTGGAAAGCTGTTTTTGCCATCTACACTCCTGCTAGGAAGAGAGTTAGGAGAGAAATGAAGTGTGCGGGTGTTGTTTGCCACATCTGCAACTGGCTCATCCCCCAGAATGTCATTCTCCCTGGCATGGTACGTCAATTTCCTTTTTATTCTAAGTGCAGAACATTGTGGTCACAAGTCATACACGGGCGTGGTAGAACAGTGTCATAGCTCTGGGGTTTCTCTTCTTGGGACAGATGAGACGTAGATAAAGAATGAGCATCCAGGCTTTGTTCGCTTTTCTGATCCAGAGGAACAGTTTTTGTTTCTATCTTTTTAATTCCCTGATTAGATATTTTTCCCTACCTGCTTGGTTGAAACCCAGTTTCTCCTACTTTACTCCAGCATCTTTAGAGGATTGCATCGAGGTTTCTCACTTTTCCCTTGCTCATGACCAAGGGCTTCGTTTATGGAATAAAACCTAGGCCATTTCAACTGGGCCTACCCTTGCTGTGCCTGGTGTGTCTGATAATAAGCTCTCCTGGGATGGGTTGGAGGCTCCTCAAGCCAGGCTAGGCTTGCCTGCTTTCCTTCAAAGCCTATTTTTATTTTTATGTAGTGATGCCAGATAGGAGAAATGGAAAGTGGGAAAGAAGAGAAAATGACTCCAAAGCTAGACACTCTGAGCGGAATCATAAATATTCTTTCAAGGAACTAAGACAGCAAAGGCAGGGAGGTTCTTTAGTTTCCCTGGCATTTCCCATCTCTCCTTGAAGCTCATGCTTGCAGCAGTTACGTATTCTTTGTTAAGGGAAGCTATGTGATGTAATAATTTTCTTAATAAGCCAAACAACTCCATATTATCTGGCATAGGTAAAATTATTCTAGAATGAAACTCTGAAAAACAAAATATGTTACATCTGGGCACACTCACCAGGTAAATAATTTTTGGTCCAGGGCTGCAGTTTTGTGACTGTTCCATTGGACACTGGAAGAGAGGATGGAGGCCTTTGTGAGTGTGCAAAGAGTGTCTCAAAGTCCGCACCATGGCTTCCCCAGTGTAGGACTGTTGCTGCTGACTTCTGAAGCCCTGGTTGAGATTAAGAAAGATCAGAGTTTTCTAATGTTTGACGCAGCAATAGTTGTTGCCCATGAATGTTCTCTCTGAACCTCCCTATTCTGACAGTCTCTCTTCTCTCTTATGTAAATTCAATGACGAGATGCTGCCAGTAGGAGAGGGATGTGTGAGTGTGTAATTCTACAAGGCAACTTTTTAAAATGGTGTGACGAGTCACATTTTTTTTGGTTACATAGATGGTTTGGGAAATTCAGTAATAGAAAATGCTAATAATCCATTTTTCCTTTCTGTGTGCTAATATCTTTATTCCAAAAAGATTATATATATATAGTTTAATGACTGTCTCTAGAAGTTGACTGTCATGTACATACATTCTGTATACATTCTGTAGGATATAACTTAAAGTGTGCTCAAAATTGGTCCTTACAATTGGTATAATAAAAACTTTAAGCTCCTAGCAGTGCAAAAATAAGTAAATAAGTAAACCAAAGCTCCAAGGATGCCTAGTGATGCACAATCTATTCTTTTTCATGGTTTAGAAAAGGAGATGTTTGGAATGTTCTCACACAGTGGGGAGCAGTTTAGTAAATAATTAGGGAACAATTTTTTCTTCCACAAGTAAGTTTAGGACTTGATCACACTGGAATTTTGAAAACAGTTGCTTCCTCCCACTACTTTCTTTCATCTGAAAAAGTACAGCATGCAGTAAGATCTCCTTTGTCAATTGCCATCCCAGGACTTGACTGTTGTTTTACTTTTAATCTTTGCAAGCTCCCATAGTTACTAGTGGTGTATCTGACGTTTAAGCATATCTAATAAATTAAGGATGGTTCTGCATTGCCTCTTATCTGACCAGCATCTGTGGGTGTCAGCTGCCAACGAGGGGCTCGAATGTCTGTACCACTCCTGAATACCCACAAGCTGACACACTCTCTTCTGATAAAAGGTACTTTCAAATATGCATGCGATTTTCAGTATAAATTTTGTATGCTTAAACGCTTCCTGTAAGAGATCGCGCGACCTAATAAAATGACTTGGCTGGGACTTTTTAAAAGCTGGATATAAATATCACTAGAGATTGTATAGCTAACATAAATACTTCACTCTGAGCTTGGCTGAGCATTTTCAAAATGCTTTTGGCCACATTTGTGAATATCATCGTGAAATCTGAGCCCAGAGGAAGGGCATGGGTGGGGGGTTAGTCCAACAGGGTCTCCAGCCTGCCCAAGGAACCAATAAAGTAAAGGCCAACATACCACGGTTTGGTGGTGGTAAAGGAAGGGTTTTGTTCCTTCAGCTCTTATCCAACTAACCACCCTTATTTTGAAGGTGTGTGCACAGACCTCTTCTAAAAAGCCACACATCTGTGTTGAGCGGTATCTTGCTAAGACTGTCACGTTCAAACAGAACTCACAGTGTGTTCTCCAGAGAGACTATGTATCTGTGTAGACAATAAGATAGTAGAAATCAAAGAACTGCCAGTCTTTTATGTTTTAATGGAATATTTTATTCTCCTAATACTGTGCAAGGTGCTTACAAATCTTTAAGATGATATTCGGATAGCGTGAAGTATTTATTGCTTTAAAGTTACCCATGGTAAAGATTAGTTTGTAGTTTGTGGTCGTGGTGGTGGTGGCAGTGGTCGCAGAGGTGGCGTGGTGATGGTGAAGGCTGAACCTGCGACGCACTGGGTCACAGTGCCGAAGCCCTTCAATGTCAAGAGACAGCTCCCACCTTATACACATTTCTTGTTTTGTCCAGCATTGACGTTCAGGAAGAGAAAAACACTTTACGTACCACTTTTTTCTTAATGCAGTTTTGCATTTGCTATTTTAGTCTGTAGCTTTTAACTTTATAATGAGATCTTGATGCCAGGTTTCATAGAGCCAACTAGCTGTCAATTGATTAGAATCCACTTGGTCACTCGCCCTTTTCTGGCATCCAGCTTGTCTGATGGATCAGCAAGTAGAATGGTTAGCAAAGGAGCCACTGAGGTAAGGGAAAGTGTTCAGGTGAGATGTATGGGTACTGCCTTCACAGTGCTGGTATGAGGTCCATTTTATTATCATTTTCCGAGACTTTCTCTGTGGCATCTGTTAGTTTTCTCTTTCTTTCTGCACCCTATTCTACAATCTACCCCGGCCCCACAAAACACCAGCTTAATAAACAGAAGACCAGCTATGACCTCTTGCCTTTTCCTGAGGTCTAATGGAATATTTTATTCTCCCAATTCTTACTGTGCAAGGTGCTTAAAAGTCTTTAAGGCGATATTCGAGTCTGTGTGAATCAAATCCTTGCTGCTTTCATTGTATCCATCCTGGACTATGCACATATATACTCCGGGTGCTGTAAATCATTCAGAATTGGAAGCTGCTTGCACATATCCACCCACGCCATCACAGCTGGCCAACAGTGGTGGCCTATTCTGGGCTGGTATAAGAGGCTGAGGCCAGCAGCTGTGAGTATCAGCTCAGGGCTGAGATTCTAGTGTAATGTGGCCCCAACTTTTGTCTCCTTATCCAGACTGCTCACCAGAAGCTCAGCCCAAGTATGTCAGAGGCGGGAAGCGTTACGGACGAAGGTCCTTGCCTGAGTTTCAAGAATCTGTGGAGGAGTTTGCAGAGGTGACAGTGATCGAGCCCCTAGATGAAGAAGCACGGCCCTCACATGTCCCAGCTGGCGACTGCAGTGAGGTAAGGAGAAGTCTCATAGAGATGATGGTTACCACCACGTGGCACAGAAATGGGAGAAGTGGAGGGTTTGATGCCACATGGACTTTCCTCAGCTTGCGGCTCCTTGCTGAGGTTACGACTTGCCTTTTGGACATAGATGGTTTGTGTTTCTGTTATTTGAATGTCTTTACCTCTGCTTCAGCTTCTAGAGCACTGACGTTTCAGTATATGCTTTTTGTGCATGCATTTAACTTTTAGTACTTTTCATATTGTCTTCTAGCTCTTCTTAGGAATATTTCTCTCCTCCATGCACATTGTTTAGTAATCTAAAAAGTGAACAAAATCTCCCCCCCCCAAACTATAAAGCAGCATCCATGGGGGGTAAAAAGTGAAAGCTACTTTAAGAGCCTGCATCTCACCTTTTTGGTGTGAGGAAGCAGCTACGCTCAGTTCCTACCCCAAGATACGGAGCAGGGCACTGTTGCCTTGCTCAGCAGTGGCCCTGGTTCCTCTTGGCTCTTCTGTTGCATCCAGGCCACCTCCCCCTCCAGCCTGCAGAAATTCGCCCGCCTCCCTTGGCTCCTTTCATTTCGCTTTGCACATTGCCATCATCTATCAGCAAAGGAGGCGCAGCAATATTTTCTTTATGGCTCATTTATGAGCATCCCATTTATAGAAGATTAAAAATGCCATGCTGAGCAAGCTCTAAATATTTCTTGCTAATCCCAACTCAGATTGGGACCACAAATATCTCAGATACTAATATAAACTGGAAAAGAAGCAAGTGCCTCAAGATTCTGAAAGCGGTGGGTTGATTGCAAACTGTGTGTGTGTGTGTGTGTGTGTGTGTGTTCGTGTTCGTGTTCATGGCTGACTAACATCCCTATTGAGCTTATTGAAATCTGTAGGAAACTTGCTCCTAGTAAGTTCTCCAGCATTCAGACTGGTATCCTCAAATTTCCTGTGTCCTTACAACCCAGTGGTAACTAAGAAGAGCCCAAATGTTGAGCAGAAATGGCATTGGCAATAAGTACTGAAATGTACGAGAACACAAGCAGTCTGTCAAACAGAAGTTTGTGTTTTTGTTTTTTTTTTTTTAAATAAGTGACGTTGTTCTCATCCAAGATGTGAAGGAACAATGGTGGAAATGCAAGTGAGAAGAAAAGCAAAGGATCTAGAAAAGGGAGAGAGAGAACTCATGAAAGTAGAGTAAGAGTTGTGTAGGTGAGAAGGGATGGCCAACCAGGGAAGGAGGGAGGAGAACCCTGCCTAGAGCACTGAGGTGGCTGGTCAGTCTCGGGCAGGGCCTCTTCCATCTTGGGTCCAGTCAGCATTGGGGGTCCTTCCCTTTCTTGGGCCCTGCTGAAAATTCAGATGGAGACCTTTCCCAGGAAAACACACGTGTGCACACGCACAAGGAGGAGGCAAGGGAGGCAAGTACTTTGCATACTTCAGGTAGAGCAGTATTTGTAACACTATTTCTCTCACTTTCAGGAAGGATATCTTTTTACTCTATAAAGTCTGTTTCATAACCCTGAGTAGTGTGAAATGTATTTGAGATACTTCTACCTGAAAAAAATAGGTAAAATATCTCCGCTTTCAAAGATAAGCTTTGTATTTGGAAACCACTTTGAAGTCCAGTATCCCATTTCACCAACTGTTCTGCAGCTATTATTCTTTGGTGGTAATAAATTAAATGACTACTTATCTTTTGATACAACAGCTTCCAGTCACCCCTTGGTGATACCCAGAAAGTTCCTGGCCAGAGCTAAATGTTGTAGGCAGTGTATTTCTTACACCCTTATTGTAGCTTATTCACTGACTCCTAGTGAGATTTAGAGCTTAACAAGTGAGACTTGGATCTCACACAAAAATGAAGAAGAGGTGGAGGCTGAGCCTGGGTAAGACCTTGCCTCTTGCAAAGGATTTATTGGAAGAATCTTTCTCCCCCTGTATGTTTGTTACACAGCTTCCTTAAATCCTCCAGAAACCTCCTGGATATGACCCCTTGATGCTATTTACAAAATTGGTCGTGTTCACAAGCCACCATCAGACATAGGCCCGCCGAGGGTCGTTTCTCTGGATTTCTGCTCCCAGTGAAGACTCCTCCTGATTCTGGTTTCGTAGTTTGTTATATCCGCCATGCTTGGCCTCGTATAATAACAACTTTTTCCCCTGCTTTTTTTAATTGCCCAAAGTGGACTCAAACCAAAGATCATCCAGCTGCTTCTTGCCTAAATACGAACTGTTTGATAAGCTGAATTGATCCTGTTATTTTTTAAATCAACTTTAAAAAATTACTAGCTTCTCGTGTAAACTTTTGATGATCCCACTGGCAGCTAAGAAGACAAATCCCAGCTTTGTGCCCCAGCCCTGGCTGGGAACTCACTCACTGCCATCACCGAGGACACCAGGGCATCTTCTTGCTGCATGCCATGCTGTCACACAGCGTTTCTGTTTCCTGGCTGGTGTCTGCATTAGTGTCAGCAATTGAGAGCCACTCGGCCACCAAGGGTCACCTGCCTGGCAGCCCAGGCTCACTCTAAAAACCTCTGTCCCTTCTCTAAGAGCTGGCTAGGTCTCCTAGAGGACATAGGTAATTTTCCCTTAGTCTAGAGCAGCATTCAATTGGGGAGAAAAATCTCAGTGGCATTTATGCCCCCAAGGAGTCTGAATCTGTCAGGAGTTCTTTCCTACACTGCTGGCTTCTTTTCTCTCCTGTTTTGGTTGCCTGAAGTGTAAAGGAGTTAGAGATGTAGTCTTCAGGCTCACACTTCCTCTCAGTGCCCACCTGGCAACAGTGACAGAGGCTAGGGGGCTGGGTCTCCCCAGATGTGAGTATTTCATAGGCCGCAGTCAGATGGCAAGCAGGAGACCAAGTACTTGGGTCCACTTGTGGGTTTCCTATGACTCCTGGGTCCTGGCTTAGGGAAAGGCAGCATTTTTAGAACTGCAGTTTTTCCTGGTCTCAGCACGCCTGGGTTTTTCTAAAGTGACTTCAGGGTTTCCTCATGAAGACAATAAACGACCTGAACAGGAGTTAAACAGAAGTGTGGTTTGGCTGCTGCTGCCCAATGGGAGACTAATTTTGCTCTAGTTGAGTCAAATAATCATCTCATTGACCTGAGAATGTGTGGAAGGTTAGGCAGTGTGATGAAACAGTGTCACAAGCACCTATCGGAGCTGTCCCCAGGCAGGTCGCTTCCTGCTAGGAACTCATCGTATGTTGATAAGTGAGGAGCCATCTGAGAAGATAGAATAGTAATTCCTCCCTCCTTTTTATCTAGGGTTACTCTATAGTAGGGGAGGTTGCTAACGGCCAACACAAATCCATTCATTCACTCATTCATTCATTCCCAGGCTCTTGAGTTAGTTCTGCATCCTTATTAGGAGGCCTTCTCCCATAAGCATGAACCAAAATTACTGGTAATTCACTGTGGTCTCCTTATCACCCCATCCTTCCTCTTCCCTGAAGAAAATACCTAGACATGCAGATGAGTGTGGGGCTATTACAGATGTTGCTTTGAAGCAGCTAAATTTATATTTAATGTAAGTCTCATGTGAAGTGTTAGGCTCCATTAGTCAGGACCCACTTGGAGCTCCTCTGGTGACTTCACAGCATACCAATGTGACATGCGGCCACAGGTGAGAACCTACATCATGGTGTAGCCGGGGTTCTGCTATGTCCCCTGCACAGAATATATGAAAATAAACCTGTACAAGGTGTTTGGATCACATTGGTTTCAGTTTATCTGTGTCAGAGCCCCAACATAAATTGTAAACATTTAATAGTCTCCATTTAATTGCTTTTGTCAGGCAACTTGATTCTTTGCTGCGGAAACAGAAAATATCTAACCTAGCTATTAACCAGGTCTCCCCTATCCAGTTTACTTTACAAGGCAATAAAGCCATTCGGTAGGGAAAGACGACTGTAATTCTGCGAAATTTCCAGCACTACAGTGTAGCCTTTCAGAATTTCATTTGGAAAGCCTGGAGCAGAGCGTGCTATTTCACAAGTGGCAGGTAGGCCCCGCCACCAACTGCAGTGTACTTCGCCTTCCAATTTAGTGTGTTTATCTGGCAGATGGATCCCTTGGGAGTGTGACCTCTCATCTCAGGTGGTATTGAAAGGAAAGTGGTGATTTTTCTTTCTTCATGGGATCGTTTTCACTCAGGCCAATTCAACAGGACATTCTCTTCTGAATTAATCCAGCCTAACAAAGGGCACATTCTTGATTCCAATGCGAGGTGTGATTAATGAGAAGGTTTTGTTGTCTCTGTTCTTGCTTTACTTCATTAAGATACAGAAGTAAGGTTTTAAGTCCAGAAGACTAAATTGTTTTGCCCTTTATGTGTAATGGTTACTGAATTGACCTTGAATTTTATGCTCATGTTTCTTTTGAAGATAGGTAGAAAGGGGGGAAAAACAAAACTAATTTTCAATTCTTTTCTCTATTCTTTGGAAAGATTGTGCAATTAATACAATTGGGGCAGGGCCACTTTGCTTTCTGCCCTGGTTGAAAACAGGGGACACCTTGTTAACTGATTTCCTCCACAGGGAATAAATCGGGTCTAGTAAGATTCTTATCAAGAACAAGGAGCTTTGAACAATTATTTCTCCAACTGTAGACAATAGCAGTGTAAGCCAAACTGTGGGCTTGTCCATTGCAGTTTAAGTGAAACCCTGAGAGAAAAAGTTCAAGTTAATTGCCAGGCACCCGAGGCTGGGTGAGCAAACCCTGGCTTTGCACTGGGACTGTGAGCTCAGGAGGGCAGGGGAGGCAGTTGTTGAAGCCCCCATTCTCTCCCCAAGAAAACCCCAAAACAGATTTTGCTACCCTACATAAGATCAAACTTCTTCAAGGAGTATGAAACTGATGTATCTTCCTCATATGTTCATTTTCATACATGCATAAACTTTGCAGTTGAACTTTATGAATTATTCACTTGTGTTGTATACAGTCAGTATGGAACTCGGGAGCAGGCTTCTTAATAAATGAGTGAAGTTCAGCTGAGAGCTT